CTAATGTGTTATCCTAATTGTAATTGCTCAAAAAAATGTATTCCTTATATCAATATATTGTCCTTGATATTCATATAAAGTTATTTGCCCGTTTCTTTCTTAGCCGTTCCCAGCATTCAAGAAGTCAGGAGCCAGTAGTTCGCGTACTTCCTCTTACTATTCCTCTGACTCCGCATCGCAATTCTTCACCATCTCAATCCTGCAGCGCATGCCTCTACACTAGCGATTTAATGGCGCCTCTGGAAACTGAATCTATAAAAGAAAATATTCAGATCGAGATAAGAAGGCGTGGCGAGACAACTTCGTTTGCCTCAGGATTGGAAAACAATACTCTTTCTGAAAACTGTAAGTCTCTTTCTCTTCAAGTTGTGGGACGTTCCTGGCCTGTTTTTTCCTTTAGTTAATCTAAGCGGATATCTTTTTACCGATTCTTTTCTCTTTAGACATCTAATTTCCTTATTTTAGTGCCAAATGTTGGCTTTTTTCGCATACTAAAATAAGAAAACCCCGCCATATCTGATAAAGATGTGGAAACAATCCGCATTTCAAATTCATTAAAACTAAATTTTTGTAAATAACTTACAGCTCGACTTAGTGATTATTTGCTCATTAATAGCCCCTACCTGGGCTAGTCTTTTCATTTCCATTTAACTACTATCGGGGATCAAGTTGTGTATAAGGCATAGTACTATGCTGTCTCGCTAGTTTGTTTACGAGTTTCATCCTGTCTCTAAGTTTATCAAGAGAACTTTCTGAATTCGGTGTTTGGTCTTTCGTTCCTTCATTCCTCATTTCAGCTTAACTATTAGTTAATGCATAGTCATACAGCAAACTACGTACTCTCTCCACACAATGATACCCGACTAGCTGAGTAAAAGATTACTTCATTGATGCAACGAATTCAGTGGCGATGACTCTGATCTCCTATTAATAGCCTCCACTGAAAGGGAGAGTTGAGAGGTCTTCAGTCTTAACAATCAATCCTATCTTTGAATGCAATATCTTCATGTCTATGTGGTATAGGTTCTAATTCTTTTAATTTAGCTCCTATGAGCTTATGATCTCGTTGGGGGTTCCAAGTGAAGTCTGATCTGTGATCTATCTAGTGGAATGCGGGGTAGTAAAAAAAATTAACCCCTGAAACTTCTTCAAC